AGAGAAGGTTTGAAGCATTATACTCATTTGAGAAAAGGTTTGAAGTTGGATTTAAACTTTTGCCTAAGAATACAGCTTCCCATTTGTTTGAAAAGAGGAGACATGTGTTTCTCTCAGGGGTAAAGAGAAATTCGCTCAGAGCTGAGCGAATAAGAGGATGCAATCAGAATTCGACTCTTTCTAGACAGAGACTACGCTCTTCTATCTTGGCCCAGCAGCCTCTTGGAGAAGATGATATGATTCACACATTTTAGACAGAAACAAATTGGGATCCTAATTTAGGAAAATTAAAGGAAGTCAGTTATATGTGTAGGTGTTTAAGGAGTGTGATTTAGATACAGAAAAGCCCAAGCAGCTCACATATGTCCTCGGAACCATCTGTACTTCTTCTCATTGGCTATTCTCCTTGGCATTGAAGACTCTGCCTTTAGCACCAGGGGCACAAGCACCTTTGGCACTAGTGCCTGAAGGAAAGGCGTACAGACAGCCCAGTTGGCTGATGGCAGTAAACTGACTGGGCAGACCTGGAAGGGTAAATCCAAGTGGAAGGCCGTCAGCTTCGGACCTGACACAGGGAATCAGTCAACGAACATCATGTCCTTTATGCAGCTCTGAGGCTGCAGAGGAAAGATGACCCGCTGTGACTGGCAGTTCATCCAAAATCCTTCGAAAGACATCAGCTTCTGTGGCTCCCGGTGACGTAGATGATCTACCTACATATAACCAACAGATGACTGGGGTTAAAATGGAGATGCAAATTCTGAAGACCAGAGAGGGGTTTGCCGAAGTACAAGACTCCTCCAGATCAGTGACTCTTAAATAGGGACCAAGGCTGGGGAGGAAGTCAGGGGGGTGTTGGGAGAAGCCATAAGCCCCTCGCCCTGCCATCCTGAGAATCACCAGTTGCAATCTGTGACTTAGGTTGAGGTCCAGTCACCCCATCTGCGGATAAATGATTAGAGCCCCAGGTATTTTAGGGTGGGCCTCTCCTCTCATGCCAGGTATCACTCAGAAGCTCACTCCGTACCCCAAGATTTCTGTATTACAAAGTGCCTTTTGGTATACAAGGTGCATTATTTTATTTATTTAGGAACTGAGAGCATTTTAATGGGTTTCAGGACAAACTCATTCTGGGAAATGAAAAAAAAATAATGTGAGCAATGAAGATTAACTGGGGCCGCTTGTCAGAGCAACGAGGAAAGAGCTGATAATATGAGCAAATATTGAGAAGTCCAGTTGTCCCGGAAAGATTCCATACCATTTAGTAACATTGGAAGGAAGTGACTTGAGAGCACAGCCAACCACCATGAGCCTCCTCAGCAAGCCCAAGAGTGAGATGACCCCAGGGTAGCTACAGAAGCTGGAGGAAGAAGAATTTAACACGAGTCTACTCTGTGCTCACACAGTCAGTCAAGAACAACACCCCGGTGCTTATTAATTGCCGCAATAACAAGAAACTCCTGGCCTGGGTTAAGGCCTTTGATAGACACTGCAACATGGTGCTGTAGAACGTGAAGGAGATGTGGACTGAGATCTCCAAAAGTGGCAAGGGTAAGAAGAAGTCCAAGCCAGTCCACAAAGACTGCTCTATCTCCAAGATGTTCCTGCATGGGGACTCAGTCATTGGGGTCCTGCGGAACCCACTTATTGCTGGCAAATAGGGCCCTCTTCCCCACTGACAGCTTGCTCTCCCATCCTGTGAAGGCCTGCTCTTTGTGATGGGAGTAACAAAGCCCTGTGGTTTTGTTTCTAAAAAAAAAAAATTTGGTAACACTGTCTTACACAGTTAGTATATATTTAAGCCCCTGGATTCAGAGTGGACTTTCCAATGCTTGCAGTTTTTCCAGGAACGAGATGCAATCATTCGATTTAATTTGGGGAGAAAGTACTGTCCTGTTTCGCAGAAAGCTTAGGAATTGATTTATAAACTGCTGTTGCCATTCTGGCACACTCCACATATTCAGGGTTCTTTGGAATTCCTACCTCTTCGGGTAATGCAGGCACGGGCCAAGAGGTCAACCCGGGCTGTAGCTGGGGCAATCCTTTTTTATTATGTGAAGTGACATTTAGTATTTGTCTTCTTCCTAACAGGGCCTGTGTTCCTTTCGGAGACGCACACAAGTGGTTCATCATGTGAAGGACCTGGATATTTGATTTCATGTCTACAAGTTTTCATTTACGTTACACACTGAGAAATTTATGAGAAACAACTGTCACTCTCTGGGGGTGGAGGCTGCCACGATCCACAAAGACAAGAGGTAATTTCCCTGTGATCTCAGGATGACTCAGGTTAGTAGCTTTCAGCTGTCACCACCACTCACATAAAAGGAGGGTTTCCTGGGTGCATATTTGGCAAACCGAATTAGTTCCAATTCCTATAATTATAAATTTCTGATGTGACATAAAGTAAGTTAGGGTTTATTTTTGTACTAGATAGAAAAACGTATTTGAAGACAGCTGTAAATAAAAATTATGGGAATACATTTCGTATTTTTTAGAAAGAAAAATACTTTTCTAGGACTTAAACATTTCTAAATGATAGTTTTTATGTATAAATTTTTTAAATATAATTTGTCCTATAGATTAATATGTAGATATTAAGTTTGAGGTGTCATGTATCAAAAGGTTTTCAAAAAGCTATATATTTTATAATGAGGTCTTTTTTATAATATAGTCAAAACCTTTTAACAGTTCTGACCAACTTGTATCTTCATTTTAGAAAACAGTTTAAGAATGCTTTGAAATGTAAGGCAGAATGTTATGCTGTGTCTTCTATAAAACACAGTATTTATGACAGGAGAACAACTTACAATATTTCTATTTATTTTTAGTTACAAAAAAGTGACTCTTGTATGCCTAGGGTGTGTCTATAAAATAAACCAACCTCTGCTGTGGCAGGAAATCGTGAAACACAAAACAGAACTTGGAAAGCTTAGTCTTTATTTTCTGCAGGTGCCTACTGGCCACGCAGTGGTGGATTTAGGATTTTTGACCCAACACTTGGGAGAGCTAAAGAAATATGTACCTGTGTACATATGCACAGGTAAAAGGTCATCTCTCTGCAAGTGACCTTACACACACACATATATGTAAATAATTTTTTTCATATATATACACACATAATGTATATATATAGGCTGGACTTAGTGGCTTGCACCTGTAATCCTAACAGTTTAGGAGACCGAGGCAGGAGGATCCTTTGAGCTCGGGAATTTGAGACCTCTCCTCTCTATAAATTAATAATTAAAAGATATACACATAAATACACAAATATATATACAAATATATATATTTGATCTTTTCAAGTATATAATATATAAATACATGTATTTGTATATGTATTTGTTATATATGTTTATATTTAATATATAAATACATATATTTATATATGTATATATTATACATGTATATTTGATCTTTTCTAGAGAAGATCAAATTATTTCAGTTCCTGCCTTCCAAGAATTAATAACCAGTTAGGAATATATACGGAGTTGAGAGTTCAAGATGGTATCAGACGAAATGCCTTCACAGTGATGGATAGTAAATTTGCAATGTACAGAAATATTGGGAGTTTACTTTTATCTGTAGTTAGCCATAAAGCCTTCATGCAGGAGGAAGAAGCTGTGATAGGCTTTGAATCTCAGGTAAGATTTTTGCAGGAGGGTGTTGCACATGAGAGAAAACAACCCATTGGCTTCAGCAAAACACTGAACAAACGAATATGTACCAGGGCCATGGGGATGAAGTGAGTCAATGCCTTGGGGTGAAGCTGAGAGTTCCAGTGACTGTAGTTTTGATACATGGAACAGGAAATGTGGAGCCGGCCAAGCAGAGCAAAGCGTCGTCTGTGTTTACAGCTGCTCCCCTTGGTTCACATCACCAGCTGGGCTGTCAGATCAGGGCGGCATTAGGTTCAAATAGGAACAAACCCTATTGGGAAGGTTCAAAACTGCTTATGGGAGGGATCTAGGTTGCACACTTCTTAGGAGAATCTAATCCTTCTCCACTGTGGTCCATGGAATAACTGTCTTCCATGAAATCAGTCCCTGGTGCTGAAAAGGTTGGGGACTGCTGCTTTCACAATTTCTGTTCCCACCCGTTTATCGAGATCAGTAATCCTCATAGATCATTAGAGTTGTCCTATTTGGATGCTGTTGCTGATATAATACATCCTTGTTTTCACTTCGAATTATTGGGCAAAGCTGTTCAATGCCTAATATGCTCAGGAACCTAAGGTAGACAAGATGACTTTCGTTCGTCACACTGATGAGTTACTTGCCTGCTCCCGCAACTAAAAATGGCATCTTTCACGAGAGCAGATGAACTCCATTCTACACTGGTTTGTGGCGAATCCAGCATGGAGTTTTTAAAATGTCGTGTTGGACAGCCCCAATTCTACCGATCAATTTTCACAGCAGCTTTGTATTTCATAGCCTTTAAAGGTAACTGCAAAATACCAGAAAAACAAAACTGATTCATATTGCTTACACATTTAAAAATAGCTATCTGTAAGGTTACTTGTGTATGGCAGAGGCCAGGTAATTTGAGGAAGAACTTAGCGAAAGTTCTCCAAGGGGTGATGTTCAGACCCTACGAATGCTGGGCTTGAAATCGGAGCCACTCTCCAACTGCAGATTGGCAAAACCTGTCAGTCGCCACTTCACATTTGCAAGTTCAATAAAGTAAAATTTATGTGTTCCAATGTTCTCAGAATCATAATGCCCAAATTGATTCCTTGAGGAGGAGGGAATCTAAATAGACTGAAATCTACTGGGATTTTGATAAAAGAAAAAGCACTGACTGTTTCAGTTTTTCTTCTAGCGTGGGAAGTTATAGCCATATGTTTACTTGGTAAATTCCAGTTGAAGGTGCAATATAAGCTGTTTCAGTTTGGGTGGAAGTTTGGTCAGACGTCACAAATGAGATTCTTACTCTGTTAGGAGTTTGCTGGGATTTTCTTTTTCTCTTTCTTTTTTTTTTTTCCTGCAGGGGCTGTGGCAGGGCCATTCTGATTAAAGACACCCTATTGCATTTTAAGAGTAAATCCTGAACAGCTCTTTCTTGCAGTGGAAGGAATGGTGGCATTAGAACACCGTCATTTAGTGATACCTGTAGTAATAATTGTTTGAAGGGAGAATCATCAGTGGATGCTAAAACTTGTGGGTGAGCACATACGAAACAGAATATTTCTTATAGTCTAAAAGTATCTCTCCACAAGGTATTTCTTAAATCCAAAAGAGGAAGAAGGTTCTGTGCAGGGAGATGTCCTCAGAGACACCATCTGATTCAGGGGCTTCCTAATTCCCAGGGAGGGGCTGGGGATGGGAGGAGAGTCTCTTCTCTCTAGTTACATTGCCGCCATCTGTAAGCTTTTAGGGATCGAGCCCTTCAATCCCACACAGCCTTGGGTGGAAACAGTCACTCGTTATGCTAACCAAAGCCAGCATTCCCCTTGACTCAAGAGTCAGAGTCCATTCTGGTTATGTTTGATCATTTGTTAAACGTTTGGTGTGTCCTAAGTGCTGGGGATTCAACATTCAATAAGATAACGTTTTGCTCTGTTTTAAGTAGGGTTTGCGCTCCCATAGGAATCAAATGCCAGCACTGATCTAACCCGAGGCAAAGCACAGGTGGTGATGTGAGCAGTGGGGAGCGGCTGTAAACACAGATGAAGCTTCACTCGGTGGCCCCACTCTCCACTGTGCAGCCTCACAGGCCACAGTACCAGTCTCTGGTGTGTAACTTGGGTACCACAGACCCCTAGAGTCTTCCAGCCAGTGCAAGTGACAAATATCTAAACACAGTTACAGAACTTCATGCTGTCAAGCAGAGGTGTGCATGGGACACAGAGGAGGACAGGGCAGGGCTGAGCTGATAGGTACCAGTAGGAGCAAATGGTCTCTTACATGATTAAAAATACCTTCATATTGGATGGTAAAAGCTCCCATCTGAGCCCCTGAGCACTTCCCTGAGACACTGTTCAGTCATGTGCCAAGATAGAATAATTAAAGAATTAAGCCTGAAACAGCAGGTGCCTCCAGGAGCTGCTCTGGTGACTTTCTCCTTTCTGTCCTATTGCCCTAGCTGCATAGAGGCAGGGAGGGCTTCCTGGAGGAGGTGATTCCCTGGCCAAGAATGACTGTAAGTCAGCCAGGGAAAGCACAGAGTCTGTTCAGGCCCCTGATGACAGAGACTGTGTCAGTTCTGAGAAACTGTGGCTCATTGAGTATTATGAGACCAGTTGACACTGGGGCCACATCACAAAGGGCCTTTTGCACCTTCCTATGCCAATTGAACTTGATCAAATACACCATGAAATGCCCTTGGAGAAGTCTAAGATAAGAAGCAACACCATCCATCAGACATATATTCTAAAAAGTAGTTATAATTGAAGTTGGGAAAAGCATTGAATGGCCAGAAAAACTGGTTGCAGGGTGTTGAAATAATTCAGGCAAGATATGAACACCTTTACTAAAATAAAAGCAGTCATGTTATAGAGAAATGGTTGGAATCCAAAGACATTAAAAATGTACTACTAAGGGCAGCACCTGTGGCTCAAAGGAGTAGGTTGCTGGCCCCTATGCCGGAGGTGGCAGGTTCGAACCCAGCCCTGGCCAAAAACTGCAAAAAAAAAAAAAGAAAGAAAGAAAAAAGTAGAATTAATAGGGTTTTGGTGAGCTACTATTATAAAATTGTAAAATCTATTTAGTGTCAGGTAGAATATCTGATGCTAAAATGAGCATAATCTCAATATATCCTAATCTTGCCATATTAAACATTTGGCAGATTCAAATGAGCAGAGTCTTATCCAAAGTGAACCATTTGGTACGAATTCTGACTCTGCTTCCAAAATTAAGAAATGACTTTGCACAGTAACCTACAATGATTAGCTCATCCCCAAACCCGTTGTTTTCCTGAAAATTAGGTAAAAAAGCAAGCATCTGCTGGTCTTTTTCGTGACTCCGATGAGATTACAGTGAAGGTTTTGTTCTCTGCAGCTTGTTTGAAAGTGTAAGAACAGCACAACTGTCACAGGTGTATGTCTCCAAGTTTGGGAAATCTGGGTCCTCCTTCATATGTCTTGGGGACATGCGCTGACCTGCGTCCCCTGGGTTGGTCCTGTTTCCCCAGGATGGAGCATGAAGCTGCCCAGCTGGAGAAGCAGCACGTCCACCACGTGTATGAGAGCACCGCTCCCTACTTCAGCGACCTGCAGAGCAAAGCTTGGCCTCGAGTCCGCCAGTTCCTCCAGGGACAGAAGCCAGGCAGCCTCATCGCCGACATAGGTAACCCAGTGGTGTGCCACATGGCATGAGATGTGTTTCACCCTCCTTTCCTTTCCAGATTCATTTTTTTATTTGGGTTCTAACAAGAAAGCTGAAATTGTGTCCCGGGCCTGCCAGCACCTGGTGTATTGGCTGCATAGCAGAATACACGGAGTCAAGTTAGCAACTTCCTCTCCCCGGAGAAGACATTGACTAAAGGCTTCAAAGCTTCAGTTACGTGGGGGGGAATAAGTTCAAAAGAAAAAACTTTTAAGAAAAGAAAAATACCATCAATCCAAAAGAAAAATGGTAGAAGGATCCATGAACAAATGATTCAAAAAAGGAACAGAACACAAATTGCATGAAAATACTGATATGTAATCTACTCACATGGTTCAGTAACAAAGGTACAAAAAGATGATACTGCACAATGTCCTCTCTTCCCAGTCTCCTGGCACCAAGCAACCCACGCTAGAGGCAACCAGTGCTCTAAGCTTCTTGTGTGATCATCTCAAGCTACCTGATGTAAATAGGAGCATATTTGTGCCTGTGGGTGGATTCCCCTTTTTTGATTACACAAATGGTTTCATGCTTTAACAACAATTACCTATTTAGCTTTTGTTACTTTTAATATACTGTGAAGATTGTTCAGTATTTGTGTTTATAGGGATGCTTAGGTTTAATCCGCCTAGCATTATATCCCAATCTTGCCATATTAACAGAGAATGCAAGGTCAGACCCCTAAGCTCTTGCACTCACCTTAGAAAAAGTTCTTCATACTTCATTGCTGAGTATCACTATCTCACTTTCAGAGTACTCCCTTTGGCCATCTGGTGATCATACTGATACTCAGCAATGAGGTATGTGGCACTTTTTCTACGATAAGTTTGCGAAGTTAATTGTCTGACCTCATATAGGCCATCTGTTGCATTTTGCTACTTCAAATTGCGGAACAAATAATATTCTTTAAATACCTCTGTGCAGATCAACACTTACATCTGTAGTAAACAGCTTGTTGCCAATTTGCATCTTTTAAATTTTGTGCAGTTTACATTTTTTATTATTCAACAAATGGTCATATTTTGATTCTAAGATGAAAGATGTGTTTGTCAATGAAATTGAAATCAAAGAAGAAATAAGTGAAAAGGGCAGAAAAAGGTTCAAAGGAACGAAAAGAAAAGACAGTGTGATGACCTGATTTCCTCCAAAAGGAAACTTTTTTTTTTTTTTCAGTTTGGCCGAGGCTGGGTTTGAACCTGCCACCTCTGGTATATGGGGCTGGCACCCTACTCCTTGAGCCACAGGCGCCTCCCGAAAAGGAAACATGTTTTATTTCTAGGTTTTCTACTTAGCTAGAATCCTCCACTGTTTATTTTGCAGGTTCATCTGATTGGCTATTAGATCAGCAACTTACAATTAATGACTATAAAACATCACATAAGTGAAAAAAAAAATCCAGAGGTAATCAGGTTTCCGCTGCCCAGGTAGGATTTCTCTGGGAAATTTCACTAGTGGTGAAACTTTTAGTTAACTGAAATTCTGTTAACCATATAACTCCATGCCCCAATTAAGCTGATTTGCTGGGGTGGTGGGTGATAAAGGATCTTGGATGGAGTAAGAACTTCAGTGATTTGAAGACATCAAAAATGACAGAGTACTGTCAGGAAATGCCGTGACCTGTGCACTTACCATGTTACCCTTTCCTGAAATGGGCTCAGGCAACTTCAGTCCTTTAGATGGGACATAAAGGCCATTCTGTGGTTTGAAATCTTTGCTTGAATCAATTTAGAAAGTAGAGGAAAGACCAGAGCTGAATTCTTTTTGAGCAAGATTCCCTTTTTACCTGACATCAGAGATGACTCTCTTAACCATACTAAACATTTCAAATTTGTGAACATACTAAAAATTTGCTTTTCAAAATTAAGGTTCCCCTGGCCCTCTTAGCACTCAGTGTATTTGTCCTCTGTCTCCATGGTCGGATTTAATTGGTTAAATCATTCTCTATCATTCCTCCACTGAGGCAATAAAAATTTAGAACACGTGGCACCATGCCTGAACGATAAAACACACTGCTTCATTTCTGGCCTCAAGAAGTGGATATAAAATGAGAAAAATAGGGCAGTGCCTGTGGCTCAGTGGGTAGGGCGCCGGCTCCGTATACTGAGGGTGGTGGGTTCAAACCCTGCCCCAGCCAAACTGCAAAAAAAGGAAAGCCAGCATTGTGGCAGGTGCCTGTAGTCCCAGCTGCTCAGGAGGCTGAGGCAAGAGAATCACCTAACCCCAAGGAGTTGGAGGTTGCTGTGAGCTGTGATGGTACAGCACTCTACGGAAGGTTAATAAGTAAGACTCTGTCTCAGAAAAAAAAAAGAGAGAGAAATATTCTTCTTACGTTCTCATAGGAAAATCTTCCAATAAGGTTTTATCAAAGAACTTCTAATTTTAAAAAATGTCGCTGTTTGTGCAAACTTCAGAAAGAACATTCAGATTAATTTGGATACCTTTGAGCAAGTATCTGCCCATCGTAGACCGAACAGTGTTGAACTGAGGCAACTGTGTGTTTTCTTCTTTTAGTTGTGGTGTGGAGCAGAATGTGTAATCAAGGGCAATGTCAGGGCTCACTGGTTCTCTCACTGTATCACTGTGCAAGCGACGGCTTAATGAGCTTTTGTATAGGAGCCCGGCTATTAGGTACCCAAGCTTGTTACGGCATTGTTAATATCCAATTTCCATTGAAGGTAACGGGCAGACTAGACTTGTCAATATTCTTGGTTTCCTTCTTAGCATTAAATAATCTTCTGGCATCTCAGCGTTTGCATTTAGAAAATGGATCATTGTGTCATACTTGGGAGTTCCATTACTGCCCTTAAAAATGAATGTCATTAGAAGTGACTAGAAAATAAAAAGAGTAGGCTGCAGGAACTGTTTAAACTGAAAAGACCTCAGTTTCCTCTTTATTACCAAGTGCTCTCTGAACACTTCCTCTTTAGCTCTGATGGTCAATGAATCTTTTTTTATTAGTATCTTCAAAGTAATATTCCCTTTCATCTCTCCTAATGTACCCCTTTCAACCAATAAAAAAAGCACACATATTTCCGAGATTCTATTTCTTGGGAGGACCATCTTTGAAAAATACAGAGGATTTCAGTTTTGAAATACTTTGTGAATTATATTTTCCCCATGACTGCCCTCACATAATGAATACTTTTTCTCATAAGCATTATTAGGGACAGTGGTTATGAGCTCAGAAATGTGTCTAAGACTCCAGTCATTTATATTCAGATAATAACATTGGAAATCTTATTTTTTATTCATATTCTCTCCTCAGTCTCAGCTGGCATCAATGAACTTTAATTTTGCTTTGTCTCATAATTTTGAATAGCACGTATTAAGGAAGATTTAAGGGCGTCATATATTTCCAGAAGTAGAAAACTAATCATCTTTGAATAGTGGTAGGTTTTTTATGCAGAAAAATTGGTAAGGAATGTCAATAGGTACAGACCTAATTACTTTTTAAAATATTTCTGAAAAGGAATTAGATTATATATCGGTGATAGAATATCATACTGTATACTTGATTATAGAAAACTTTGTTTCAAGATAGATTTATTCATTCATGTTAACTATTTTGTTCTTCATAATATCAGTAAGGTCTGAAAGATCTAAGTCTTTGGAGCTGGGAAAATCGTGAATTGTTTGGGTCTCCACCACTGGAAAATAAATGTCAAAAATTGTCCATTTAAGAGAAAAATAGTTCTTTGTCACAGTCATGAGCTGAGTTTAGAGAGATCATTTCAAACCTAGCACTGACAACAGATTAGATAAACTCATTTTTAAAATTATTTTTTCATTCAACTTCAAATTTTAAAAAAATTGAAAAGCATGTTTTCTTTCTTTTTCTTTCTTTCTTTTTTTTTTTTTTTCTTTTGGTCTCAAAGCTTGCTTTTCTTTTTCTTTTTTTTTTTTTTGGCCCCAGGGCTGGGTTTGAACCCACCACCTCTGGCATATGGGGCTGGTGCCCTACTCCTTTGAGCCACAGGCACTGCCCATCAAAGCTTGCTTTTCTTTGTTGTCATGACATTAAAAAACCATGTTTTCTTATATAAATTAGTTTTATAACCATTGAAAAGTTGTGGACAGTAGTTTGTTTTACACAGTCAGCAGGTGATGAGAGTCTTTGGAAAGACACAGGAGAAAAAATGCCATAACTTACATCTACATATACATAAGGATGTATAGGTATGTGAAGGTGAAGTGCCTGCACAGTGTCCCAGGGATGTAGAACTACACAGTCAGACAGTTACATTTGTGAACTTATTCTAGAAAAACTGCTACATACGCCATTGCTGAATATCACTACTGTCACCTTTGAAGAACTCCCCTTGGGAAGCTGTGCACCAATGCCAGTGCCTAGTCCACCCTTCAAAGAGCTTTTTCTAGACTGAGTTCGCAAACTTAATTGTCAGGCCTCATTATGATGACAACTCTGATGGGAATTCCAGAAAAAGAGTTCTCAAATTGCTTTAGGGGGTAGCCTAGGCATTGGTGTCAGTTCATAGCTTCTGAAGGGGAGTTCTACCATCCATGAAGTAGGCAGCACTTTTTCTAGGCTGAGTGAACTTGATTGTCTGACCTCGTATCATTCCTGCCATGGGCCAGCTAACATGTCGTGGTTGTGCTGGTATACTAACCCCCATGGGGACATTTCCTCATTAAATAGTCCTTTTCCCACTTCCGTTCCGTAGGAACATATGTGAACACTCTCTAAAGTACTCTTGTTGTAGTCTGTCTTGATGAGTCAACATAAATTGCTTTCTATTCCTTGTTATAAGATAAACAGCTTATTTTCCAATTTCCTTGAAGGGTTCCATGAAGGGTACCATGTAACACAGGTTTTTCTCTTACAGGTTGTGGGACTGGAAAGTATCTTAAAGTGAACAGCCAGGTGCATATCCTGGGCTGTGACTACTGTGAGCCCCTGGTAGAAATTGCCCGGGAGAGAGGATGTGAAGTCATGGTATGTGACAACCTTAATCTCCCTTTTAGGGATCAGGGCTTCGATGCCATCATCTCCATAGGAGGTAAGGCAGCTGGATCACGAATTCACCCTTTCCATGAAAATAATTTGCATAGTTGAGGCCACTCTTGTGACTCAGCATCTATTCTGTGTATGTGATTCATTTTATCTCATTTTAAAAAATATTTCAACTACTTGAGTAATTTGACTAATCTCAAATGGCTCTTATGGTACGTCTGATTGTTTCAACTATGCAAACCTTCAAATTAAAACTGTTATTGAATTCTTTTTGATGATTCCCTTCAATTTCTCTTACATATGAGTAAGAAAGCATGAAAGGAATCTTACTGAAAATAGTGCTTCATTGCATTAAAATGAAGACAGATTCTTCCAAAGCAAAGTAGACTTTTGGGATTCCTATTACCTTTTTCAGGCCAAAATAGTGCCCTTTATTAATAGAGAATTCTAGGACTAACACACTGAATGACTCCTAGACCAATCTGTCCCTCAGTGGGACTCCAGGTCCTAGAGAATATGGGTCCCACCTGGTCCCAGATCACATTGTTTTTATAAATGTCATTCTGCTGTCTCACTGCCAGAGATTGTTCATGAGCCTAGGGAATGTGGTCCTCATATTCTCCCAACAAGTATGCCCAGAAAACACACATGCCAAAAAAAAAAAAAGGAAAAAAATCCATTTCTGAAATAGACACCAGTATAGCTCATTTCCCCCAATGCATGTATTCCTGACACCTGGTACGTTAGCTCTGTTGAAATATGTTAGGAAACTTGATATTTAAGGGAATCTTATGACAAGTTCTTTTGCAGTGAAGGAATCTTTTGCAAAGCAAATTACTTACATTGATACACTTAAAAAAACAGAATCTATTTGAATATAACAAGCTTTGTCAAAGCAAGTTGATCTCACATAAAACTGACTGCTATTCATGACAAAAAAACCAGAATGAGACTGTTTGCCTTCTCCTGAAATAGAGGAGAAATCAATTTATTCAACATTAGATGGGGATTGTATCTTTGCACAGTGAGAGGACACAGGTCTGGATGCCATAACCTTGGAAGTAGTTAAAATTGGTAAGAGATGGTTGCCATGGAAACCTCCTCTATGAAATTAGTTGAAACCACTAGGTCCATTTTGGTCGTCAGTATTAAGAGGATTGTCTTAGTATGCTTGGACTGCTATAGCAAAATATCATAGACCAGTTGCCTTAAATGACTCATTGTATTTCTCACAGTTCTGACAAATGGCTGGCTGAAATCATGGTACCAGCAGGGTCAGGTGCTGGTAGGAGCCCACTTCCTGGCTTGTGGATGGCTGACTTCTTGCTGTGTCTTCACATGAACAGTGTTGGCAAGGGATGGGGGCAGGTGGGGGAAAGAGAGAGAGAGGGAGAGAGCAAACTTTCTAGTCTCTTCTTGTAAGGCCACTAATCCCACTATGGAGGCCCCACCCTTATGACCTCATCTAAACCTTCCAAAGGCCCCACCTCCTAATACTATCACATTGGGGAGTTTAGGGCTTTGATTCTTGAATCTCGGGACACAAATATTCATTCCATAACAGGGAGAGTTTCTCAGTTGAACTAAGCAACAGGATACAATGCTTTGAATCTTTGGTAGAAAAAAGGTTTTGGTTTGGGTATTCTACCTAAGAGAATTGGAGATTGGAGCGAGGTCAGAGAAGTGTGTATACGCTTTGCTTTGCTTTTGATTACATTAGTATCAGGGTTCGCCTACATCCAGACTGTGCCACGAACCACAGATGTAGACCAGCTTTCCAGCCTTTGGAAATGCTTCATGTGTACCTGGTTAAATCTTGGTTTTGGTTCACATCCCACCAGTTGCTCTCAGAGAAAATGGAACACACTTGATGATTACCATTTTCTAATTAAAAATACTTCCTTAAGGGGAAAAACAGATGTGTTTTTATGATCTATAATAATAAATTAATATGACAGGTATCATGAGAAATTTCAATATCCTCGCTAATGTCCACACATATTTACTTCCCTATTAAAATTGTGTAAGTTAGCACTTCTTTTCTTTGTAAGAAGAAATACAAGAAAAATTTTATTTTTTTTTTGCTTGTCCATGTCTCTTAATAATAATGTGTGAGATAAGCATCACCCTAGTTATACATTTAGTATGTTTTACTGACAGATCAGAAAAAGAAACGCCCTTTCTACTTGCTCTTAGAATAATCTGACAAAAGTTCTAGGAAAATTCGGCAGCATATTAAAATAGTATCAATCAACAATATGGTTTATGCCGATGGTTCTCAACAGGGGCCTATGTTGCTGGTTCTCCTTTGCCCCAGGGGACACTTGGCAATGTCACTTGGATTGTCAGGTCTGGGTGTGTGTATGTGTGCTAATGTCATCTCGTCTCCTGGGTGGCCTCTCACAGTAAACAATTATCTAGCCCCAAATGGCAATACAACTGATGTTGAAAGACTCCGCTGTATGCTACATCTATACATTCTGAGTGTTTAGAGTTAAGAGAGAAGAAACATACAGATTTGAAAAGTTAAATACCAATATATTATCAAGATGCACCAAGACTTTAAAGGTGATCTTGCATAACTTAACTGTCTGATTCTGGAATCCGATAATGGAATTCAACTTACCTATTATTATCCAGGCTTTCAGCAAGAAAAGGTTTTTCCTCTAAGTTGTGATTATGATTTTTAAACACATGGAAACATTTTTTAATCTTTTAAAAATTCAGCAGAGTTTCTGGGTGCTGATTTTTCAGATAAATATATCGTTACATCTCAGTGTATTTCTTTTGCAATGTTTCTTAATAGTACATAGATGTATGTCTCATACTTAGACATGTAATGCAAAAATGCTCACTTGTTAACCTTATTTTTTCTTAAAAACATTTGGCTGGAAGATAGTTACTTATTACATATTAAATATAAATTGAAAACATAATGTAGAAGATCCTGCTATTTCCTGGGTGAAAACACAGTATTGCAAGTCATCGGAAATAAATTATCACTTATTCATTAACGAGTGGGTAAATGTAAAGACTTTCTGTCTCACAAAACCAAACAGTTAGTACTGCTTTCAGATTTTAGTAATTCACACCGGCCGTCCTTCTGGTTAACAAAATTCATGGGATTTTGGAACTGAAAGAGACCGCATGGATTTATGTATTCTGGGCTTCTTATTGTGGATGACGAAACTTAAAAGTCTATAGAAGTTAAATAACTTGTCTAAGATCAGCTGTTTAATAACTAGAGGAGCCAAAGGCAAAAATAGCAAAGGGCGGGTTTTAGAGACCTAAGACCTAAAACCAGGCCTTTGCTATTCCACCATCCACCCTGGCACATAAGAAATAAGGTCTTACTATGTGTCAGAATTTCATCATTGGTATATGGGAAACACTAGTCTAGCCATGTATGTGTTTGTGTCTGTACACACTGAGATCTAGTTTCTTCTATTTTAGTCATACACCATTTTTCTACAAAACAAAGAAGAATCAGAGCAATCAAAGAAATGGCCAGAGTGTTAGTTCCCGGAGGTCAGCTGATGATTTACGTCTGGGCCATGGAACAAAAGAACCGGCACTTTGAGAAGCAGGATGTGCTTGTGCCGTGGAACAGAGCCTTCTGTGCCCAGCCCTTCTCAGAAGCCAGCCAGCTTGGGAGGAAGAAGCAGTGTGGACATCCAGAAAGGAGCCATCCCTACCACCCTTCTTGCTCTGAGTGCAGCTGTTCTGTTTGTTTTAAAGAGCGGTGTGATTCAAAACGGTCCCACAGCGTGGACTATGGACCCGTTATGGCCAGAACCTGTTTTGCAAATATTTCTAAGGGAGGCGAGGAAGAATACGGATTCTATCGCACATTAGGAAAATCTTTCCGCTCCTGGTTTTTCTCAAGGTCTTTGGATGAATCAGCTCTGAGGAAGCAAATCGAAAGAGCGAGACCCTTGAGAAACACAGAGGTGTGGTCCAGTCGCACCATCACAATCCAGCCCTCACGCCATTCCAGCGGAGACTTGGATCACCAAGAAGCATTTTCAACGAAGGAGCAGAACTCGGATGAGGATGTGTTTGTGGAATCTTCTGGAAAACATTCAGAGTGGCTGAGAGCACCGGGCACTTGGAAACATTTAGATGGAGACCTTCTAGGAGAAATTCAGAAAAATGGAGGGAGGCATGTTCTGGATGGCAGGAATACCACTGAGGATGGCGTAGATCCAGATAACATTGAAGGCAAGAACCCTTGTGCTGGTAGAATACTGAGAAGACTTTCTCAGGTTGCTTCCACAGATTCCAACCCAGATGACACGATTTCTGTCGAACAAAAACAGGCCGATATTTGGGGTTCCAGAGCCTTTATGCGCTACTACCACGTGTTTCGAGAAGGCGAGCTCTGTGGTTTGCTTAAGGAGAATGTTTCAGAGCTTCATATTCTGAGTTCTGGGAATGATCATGGCAACTGGTGTATCATTGCTGAAAAAAAGGAAAATTGCAATTGATTGTATCATTTTAAACAGCTCCTCCCCAAAGACGGACCGCATTCTTTTCGCTAAGTTTGATGTGGTTCCCTGAAATTGCACTCTATTTTATTATATTTTAATCCATTTATTTGGTGGTGTGGAGAGACCATAGATTAATGGATCATCTCTTTTTTTAATTTTTTAGTAAGCACAGTGCCTGGCACTGAAAATGGTTGACAAAGGGTATCTGTGCTTAAAGGTTAATATGAAAGATCTGAAGAAGCAATAGGAAATATACTTCAGTAGCACTTAAATTTTTTTTTTTTACTCCCTGAAAGATGAAATTCTTATAAGTGTATATGTCTGTTATTATATACTGGTTTTTAAAAGATTCTTCTGTTAAATACGCCTTCAAAACAGTATTTTTATAGAATAAGGGGGTCATTTCTGATTCTCAGGTTATAATTTAGATCTGTGTGCAGGATAACAAGTATGGCACAGACGTGAGTCACTACAAAAGTTTTGAGACGGACTGTGTTATGGTCCATTATTTTGCTTCCAAGAAACACAGTCAACTATCCTTTCTGATTCACCCATGCAAGTTTCAACTTGGCTCAGCTTGTCACTGGTGCTGGGAGGGCTTCATTTGTTTCTGTCCATGCAGATTTTCTCTTTCTTGATCTTTGTGTATCTCAAAACTTGCTCAATGACCCACATATACATCGAGAGAGAGGGAGAATCAGTGATGAGTCATTTTGTTACTGAGATCTTCTACTTAAAGCCTTTCAGAAAAGTGAGTTCAGGAGAGAGAACCAAGAAAAGTTATAAGGAGTTTTCTAAATTATAAGCAAACTTGCTTCAAGATAAGTTGAAATACAGTGATAAGGTTTTCAGTGTTGCCCACGTTTTAAAGGCACTGTTAGCTGGTAGGAAATGGAATACATGGATACTAGAGGTTGTTAAGTCCCCAACTGGTATTTCTTCAACCTTATTTAAAGCATGAATGTCCTGTTAGGAAAAGATTGAGATTGAGTAATGAGTATTCTTTCTTTTTTTTTTTTACTTTTTGACTAAAGAGTTTTCATCAAGAATGATGCCTTTCTAACGAACCTAGTTGAAACACTGTTCTGTTTTTAGCTCTGAGGACACCTAAATTAAGGTGCAGGATATCTAGCTTGGGTAGAGGCATAATTTGAGTAGGATTTGTGATGGACTTTTAACAAATAGTATGTAGGTATTTATTGTATTGAAGGCAGCCGCATTTTATTTGTTGTGTTAGGAATTATAGGCAGAATTAACTTCTATTAATGAAAGGTTGAATTTCTGTCCCTGTATCGAGAAATTTGTATCTTTATCTATTTAGATTTAACCCTGGGTCTATTTAAGGCTGTGTCATGGATCAAGACATAAAATTAAATTATGACAGGACTAGACATAAGAGAAGCCAAAATAAGTTGACCCAGGAAGGAGTATGGTCTCAGGTGGCTCCTTAATGATTAGACATTTGACATTTGATTAAAGTCTTTTAATTTTACGGGCTACTGTCATCCCAGATAGAGATCCAAATCTTGTTTTATTTGTCCACTAAAACTAAACTAAAATGGTAATGAATTTCACTTGTTCTTAGGGATTTGTGCTTTGATGATTGTGCTGTAACTTAAAACAACGATGCTACTTTCAAAGAAACTTAAAAGGATTATTTTTAAAGGGTATCTGAAAATCGTTGATGTTTATGTATAACTCTTTGGGCTTCAAAATAAGATGGTGTCATCACCACTTTAGTGGGTAATGTCGTCTGGTGGAAATGATAGATATTCGTACTCATGTGCACATCTTGCATTAGAGGAACAATGGAAATGGCATAGAAGGGGGGAGTGTCGTAATTAAAAATTAATTTAGTGCCTTCCATTTCCCAAATTACATTAAACCACGAGTGGAAGTGATTTTCTTGGTAGGAAGAGAAGGTGCTCAGAGCAAAAGACGTCCAGCAACCCTTAGAAAAGGCCGTTAATGGCCTTTTTATGATGAAAGGACTTTTCTTCTCTCTGAAGCCTGTTATGAGAATCTTTAATCCTGAAGCCATCTCTTAAGCGTAGCGCATAAGAGGTCGTGACACGGTGTCATTCAGTTTATTACAGTTCCAGAACAGTTTTGAGCCACCCTCTGTGGGCAACCTTCCATTCACAAGCACACCACTTTGTATAAGAGAGTTCTCCAGAACAGTCCTTGGGAGAGAAATGGTTTTATATAATCTTGACAGGGCTACAGATAGAACATGGCTAATAGTAGCCGTCTTCTGCTCTTCATCTGCTGAACACAAGAATCTATGCATCCAAATACTCTTTTGTATACAGATATTTAACTTGGCAGCCAGTAACCTCTCTTTGGGATATTCAAGTAAAAGGCACTATATAACTCCTGCCTTTGGATTAAAAACAAAAAAAGCCATTGAAGAGCCAAACTAATGGAAGTTGGATCATTTAAAAAGCTTGTTCGTACTTAGGGCTGTGCTTAACTGGAAATATGAGTCATAAATGACTACAGATGCAGACAGTCTATCTGTGAACCAATCAAGCCCTAATTGCTTGACTATAGACTTTAGGAAGTTAAATAAGGAGAAAACTGACTTCATTATTAAGAATATATCAGGGTCTTTCTGATTCCTTCTTTACTTACTGGAATCAGCAGAGTCCCACTATGTGGAGGGGAGGGTTTAGGGGATTAGCAGAGTCCTTAGAAACCTTTGGTGGCTTCTCTGTCCTCACTGGCCTATTTTGGGAACTCCGTGGATACAGTCAAATGATTTGGGGGGAAGGTGCATGAACACGGACAAAGATGCAATCAAAATAATGTGACAGTGGGAACTGTGCAGGTGGCCTATTTAAGGTATTATTTTTTAGCTGGGCATGGTGGCACACACCTGTAATCCTAGCACTGTGGGAGGTCAAGGTGAGTGGACTGCCTGAGCTCAGGAGTTCAAGACCAGCTTGAGCAAAAGGGAGACCACATCTCTACTAAAAATAGAAATACTAGCTGGGCATTGTGGCAGCACCTGTAGTCGCAGCTACTAGGAAGGTTGAGGCAAGAGGATCTCATGAGCCCAAGAATTTGAGGTTGCCATGAGCTATGATGCTGTGGCCATCCACCCAGGCTGACAGAATAAGACTCTGTCTCAAAATAAAAGGGTATTATTTTTTCAGTTGCCAGTATAGTGATGAAATCCCACTAGTATATCGCAATAACTAACAAACTACACAGGTATCTTGGTATATCTCATAGGTTGATCCTCCTTCCTCCTCACACACCCTCATGCAGAATAGTTTTAATTCTTGTTTCTGGTTTGCAATTCTGTTTCCTTCCAAATTCTTTGACCTGCCAAGAATTCCTCTGCCTTGTAACTGACTATTAACTGGATGGGCAAAAATTCAGAGGTGAGAAAATGATCCAAATATAAATCAACCAGGAACATGAGTATACTTGTACATTGACGGCTGCAGAGAGAATAAGCACTGGTATGTTTTTTGACATAAATAAAGACATATGGGTTTAGGGGAGAACAGAAATTTTTAACTCAATAGTTGAACTTGGTGGGGGAGGGTACTTCCTAAAAATGGGCTGTGAACACCCGGTTTGGGGGGGAAGGAGTAAATTGGGACCAACCAAGTGGGACTAGCTGAGCAGCTGCTGTCCAGGAAGAACAAATAGTGCAGGCCTTAACTTTCCTTTGCTATACATAGAAAATCAGAAAGACCAGGTGCAGTGGCTTACGCCTACAATAGTAGAATTCTGGGAGGCTAAAGTGGGAAGCTCTCTTGAGCTCAGCAGCTTGAGACTAGCCTGAGCGAAAGCAGGTCCCCCATCTCTACTAAAAATAGAAAAATTAGCCAGGTGTGGTGGGCACCTATAGTCCCAGCTACTCAGGAGATGGAGGTAAGATCATCACTTGAGCCCAGGAGTTTGAGGTTGCTGGGAGCTAGGCTGAGGCTGCAACACTCTAGCCTAGGCAAGAGTGAGATGCTGTCCAAAAAAAAAAAAAAGAAAGAAAAGAAAGGTGAGAGAGGAAATTTGACAGACTAATAATAATAGCCACAAACTTTTCTTAATACCCAGCATTTACTATTTTATTTGTAATCCTCACCACGGTCCTCTTAAATAAGTAAACTTAGTGTTCCCATCTTGCAGATGAGGAAAACTGAGGCAAAAAAATTAAAGAGAGTAGAACTACGACTCAAACCCAGGTCTAGTCCCCAGCCTGCATTCCTAACCACAACACCACATACTCTCCCTCACTGGCTCCCGGTCACTATGCTCAGCAGATTCTATGAGCTTGTCAAGGAAAGTGTGATTATCTCCTTTATAAATCAGCTTTAGAGAGAGGTTAAGCAAAGATTAGACAGCTAGACAATAATTCCGTAGTAATCACTTACATGTTTTTTTACAACTTTTATATAAATTTTATTTGTATGTCTGTTTCAATCTGATTTGAATTTATTTTGAGACAGAGTCTCACTATGTCACCCTTGGTAGAGTGCTGTAGTGTGACAGCTCACAGCAACCTCAAACTCTTGTTAAGTGATTCTCTTGCCTTAGCCTCCCAAGTAGCTGGGACTACAGGCACCCACCACAACGCCTGGCTATATTTTTGTTGCAGTTGTCATTGTTGCTTAGCTGGCCTGGGTCCTGGGTCCCCACCATCTTTGGTGTATGTGGCTGACCCTGTAACCACTGTGCTACAGATGCTGAGCCTGATTTGAATTTTTTAAAGAAGGTCTTGGTCACAAAATATTCTGTGATCACCTTTCTCCAACTCCTCGATTCTTTAAAAATTATATTACTGTGTTCCCACTTTGTAAGTGAGAAAACTGAGGGATGTTTGTGTACTGAGCCCTGCTGTGTGCTGGATACATCAGAGTCAAGGTGATGACCCCCTGGAGTCTTGAATGTACAAAGAATATTATAGTCAACTCACCTAAAAGTGCCAATATGGAACGATTTTCACATTTGTTGCGTAATCTATTAACAAGCTATATTGTTTGAGAAAAACAATGCACAAAGCCCCCTCTTACAGAATCACAATGCATGCTAGCACATTCAAAGTCTACACAAAACGTGGATTTAATCTCACGAAGCTCGCCCTAGATACAATAACATCCTCTCAGTGCAAGTGTGCTGTGCTGTGTGTTTCAGGAACAGTGTCTTATAGAATAAATGCAGACTGCTTGGGATGGCATTCAAGCCCTTCACAAACTTCAAATTATTTCTCAGCCTCATTTCATGTAAGCGCACCTAATTTTTTTCTGTTCCGCAATGTGCTATTTTAAACAATGGTTTCATTAGACAAAATGACAATTATCACACCTTCCAGATTTATACTTGGATTTCAGATGCTGTAATTATAATCTTTCTCCAGAGAAAAATGCGTGAAACCGGCTTCATTCCGTCCGGGGGCATATGAGATAAGTGTGATTACACGCCCATCTAACAGATGGAAAAACCATGGGCGTGGGAGGGAATCAGAGAATCGTGGGTGTGATCCTCCTTCGTGGGTGG